GGTATACTTCTGGTCCGTCCCTATTCAAGTTTTTTTTATCAGCTTTTGTCATCGATTAACTTATCCAACCCCCCACTTGAGGAGTGTATATTTTAAATAAAGATAATTGCTAAAGTAATTGCAGAAAGATAACTAACCAAATTCCAAATGCTAGAAATKCATTCGAACCAGAAACAAGCAAACAATTTTAGAAATATAAAATCTAACCTATCTTGAAACAAATATGCAATTATCAGAAAATAGATCTAACCTAAGCAGTCAGTAAGCAACCAAATGTAAAAAGAAATTAAACGTTGCTACAAAAAAGAAAGTTAAAAAAATACTTATCATTTTGCTCTGTTTCTCTTTAATGTAGTGTAGTAGCACACTTGCAACGCGCGTTGTGTTGGGATTTATACCTTAAAGCCTCGTCATTTATTAATAAAATAATTTGATTATTTTTATGTATAGTTCATAGTATTCATCTTATGAAAATCCAAGGTTACTAGTGTAAACTTGAATAGTATGTAGTTAACATACAGAGAATTATGTTCAAGTAGTAACCTAAAGAGTCTACAGTATACAGATAAGGTTGGGTGTCTTGTCTTTGTAACACTGCTGATATGACCCACTTTGTAAAAGCTACAAATGATTTAATCCTAATCATTCATGTGGAGACATGCGAGTGGGGGTATCATATACAATGAGTTTGTATAAGACTGGACCATGATGTGTCTTGGATTTTCTAATACGATCGTTATAGAAATTGCAAACATATCATTAGGATGATCATATGATCGTTTAATCTTAATCCTGGTTGTTTTGTGAACTTCTGCCTATGCAAGTGTGTTCTTTGATTCACATGGGTGAGGGTAACCAAAGTGTTCGCCGAATAAGCCTACTGTTTTAAGAACATATTCAATTGGGAAGTTGGGAACATTTTTACACAAGATGGAATTTACAGCCGCTCAATATTAGAAAGTGCGAAATGTATACTTCTCCTTATTGAGTGAGTATATAAGTGATTCCCTTATAATACTGGTTCGAGGCATGGATAATAGGGTACCCGCCTTCTTAAGAAGAATTAACCCATGATGAGATCATGGAAGACTATCCATTAGAGATCCAGTGGGACTTAAGGAGCAAGAGATGAGACCAGGGCAAAACGGTAATTTTATAAAACTGGGACCATGAATCACTTTCTGAAGGATAAGATGAGCGATTATGATTATATCCGTGGACATAACTTATCTACAGTGCATGGGAGTGCAACCTTTGGTCTTCAGTGGAGCAACCTTGGGTTAATGGTAAAATTTGTTAATTAATGAGTTTAATTAATCATTTGTTGACCTTGGAGTTCAAAGTGGTCCACAAGGTCCCCCTACTAGCTTGTTAAACTATGTAGCGAACAATAAGTTGGGAGAAAATTAAATAATGTAGATTATTTAATTTAAAATTTAAATATTTAATTTGGCTTTTAATAATAAATTGAATTTATTATTAATTTAATGAGTTATTACTTGGTTGGTCTCATGGAAGAGTCCACGAACCGAAACCATGAGATGGAAGCCAATACATTAATTAAGAAAATTAAAAATGATTTTAATTTTCATAATTAATTTGAGGATTAATTAACCCACTAAGGTTTTGGCCAAAAGTCTATATAAAGAGACTTATAGGCAAAACCCTAAGGTATGCAAATGTCAATGCTAATGCTATCTCTCTCTCCTCCCTAATAGTCACTATGGAAGAGTTTATTCTTCCTCTTCTCCCAAGAGATGTCCACACACCAGTTCGTTATAAATCGAGGATAATCAGAAAGATCTCGTGGAGTCCATCATCTACACTACAAAGGTAAGTGATTCGATTCTCTTTGTCTTTTGAAAATATTTTTAATTAAAAGTTGCCATTGAGATCCGCTAAGTCAATTTATAGCGCATACTTCCGCTGCACCTGGCAGCCGGATTCGTTCCGCTGTCCAGCACGTTATTCCCCTTTAACTTCACCTACCCCTCCGGGTGTTGGAAATTTCATGGATTGGTGATATGTGGAGGGTATTGCCTTCAACCTGTGTATGATAGGTGTACCTAATATGGCGTTGTAGGATGAGGTGTAGTTACTGACAAGGAATTTGATCATTTTTGTAACACTCCTTGATCGGCTGTCAAACGTCACAGGTAGTCTATGCTTCCTCACATATGACATGTTCTCCGCCAAACCTCGACCAGTGGTATTGGGTTGTTTTTCAACCTCTCATTACCCAGTCTCAAAGCATCGCATGAATTTAGGGATAATATGTCTGTAGAGTTGCTCACGTCAACCAAGATTCGATGAACTTTAATGTTGGCTATTCTTAAAGTAATGAACAACACATCGTTATATGGGTGATGTAGATTGACTACTTCACCTTCTGAGAACTCAATTTTTGGTGTTTGTCTTGCAAAACAGGTTTGGTAGACCATGAGCTCTTGGATTTGCCTTACTTAACCTATGCCTTTCTTTTCCTACTGGATTCTCCTCCCAGAGTCCTTCCAATATTATCCTTATCTCTATGAGGGAGACTTGTCATTCTGGTTGCTATTTGGAGTTGCTTTAGAGTCCTCAACGAATTTTTTTAGGCTGTCAACTTCTATTTTACGGTGAGAAGATATGCCATTGGTCGACTTCTGTTATGTCCTCCAACGAACTGTGTGATGAACGACCTTGCAAGTTCTCTAAAGGAGGAGATTGACTTCCTCTTCAATTGTTGAAACCATATGCAGGCTAAACCAGTAAGTGTGAAGGAGAACACCCTACATCTGATGACTTCTATCACCCCGTAAATGTCCATCCATTCTCTATATGCATCAAGGTGGTCGTCGAGCCATCATACTGTTTGATGGCTGGAAGCTTGAACTTTGGTGGGACCTTCTCATGATTTGTTCCGTGAATGGTGAGTTCGTCTGATCTACAATCTCTTTGAGGTCGCACCCTTTGTCTTTCTGTTTTTCTTTAGTTTCTGCAACTTATCAACCCATTCATGTACGCTACGTTGCAACCTCTTGTCAATGAGGGTGTGTTTGGGATCTGATCGGCTATCCCGGTCGTTCTTGCTCCTACTTTGCACCACTTTTATTGCTGCGTGGTTGCTGGACCAAGTCAATCGAGAACTCCATTCTGTTGCTTGTTGCTCCTATCTAAAATTTGCTTCAGATTGTTTGTCAACTCCCCAACATCTTCGATTTATGAGCTTTACCTTTTTGCAAATCTCGGACCAGCGTAGGCTGTCGTACATCCTGTTGTTGTCTTCAATCCTTCTGCTCGAGCCTGTTTAGAAGGAAAGATATATTTTGGTGCATTCCTTTGACTTTCTTTTCCAATGCGACTAATTTGTTCCCTAGTTGTTATTAGCCCTTGGCTCGTTCCTATTTCTGTATAGAAACTTGTTGACTTGTTTTATCAGGACCTCCTCGGGCCCGAGCAGTTCTCAGTTCATCTTCCTCCTCAGATGACATTTGTTGTCAGATTGTTGGTGACCCTCTATAGAATTCATGTTGATTGTTTTGGCTTTTAGAACTTAGTCGTTCCCTACCGATGGCACCAATTGTTGATGCAGAATTTAGGCTCTTCAAGACTCTGCTGAATTTGCACCAATTATTAATAATAAAAAGGGGAATGGACATTGACTTGCAAAACAAACAACACTGAACACGAGTGTGGTGCTAGCCACACAGGCTCCGATGCCTAAGTTAGAATCAGAGGTTTGTCAAGTATTGAGAATAGAGTTTTCAGCGTACCTTTAGGGTTCAACTTACTGTTATTTTTATAGAAGTCAAATCCTAATGCCCTTAGGAAACATACCCTGTTGAACTGTGGGAATCTTGTGGGTTGAATGTTGAACTAAGTGACCGGTGACCTGTAGTAGACTTTCTAGTAGTTAGATCTAGTCGGTCGGGCCTGGTTGACCGAGACCTGGTCGGCTGGGCTGGTTGGGACCTTGCGGGGCCTTAGACTTGGTCATGCCCTAGGCCTAGTCATACTCTGATCTGGTCATGCCTTGGATCTGGTCATGCCTTAGAACTAGTCATGCTTGGTCTTGGTCATACCCTGGACCTAGTCATGCCTCACGCCCTAGATCTGGTCATGTCTTAGATCTAGTCATGCCCTGGATCTTCTCATGCCTTGGAGCTGGTCATGTATTGGTCATGCCTTGGATCTGATTTTACCTTGGATCTGGTCTTGCCTTAGCGCTGGTCATGTATTGGGCCTGGTCATGCCCTGGATTTGGTCATGCTTTAGCCCTAATCATGCCTTGAACCTGGTCATGTCATGGATCTGATCATGCTTTGGACCAAGAACCTGTGATGTAGCTTGCATATTGGGTCTAGTTTTGTCTTCTCATAACAAGGATTAGTGTAAGAACTCACATTTGTATCAGATTCAAACTATTGTATATTTAAGAATTTTCATTTTAAATTTTTATAATGGGATATTTTGAATGTTTAGACCTATTTTATTTTAAATCCTACTTGGTTTTTTTCAAAGAGTTTATAATTGTTCATAAAGAATTATTCTCAAAGGCTTAAAACTGGTTGTAAATTTAACGCCCCGCGCTTCTCAAGTTAGTTTAATTTTAGCCGTGGTTTATTACCTAAATATTTTCCTTTTTGTTTTTGTGGTGACTATAGTTTTAATTTATATCTGCTTAGATTCATTGAAAAAGTTTTTAGTCTAATTGGACCCATTAGTTAATCAGACTAACAGAATTGAATCTTTGAGTCGTGAAGTCATGTTTTAGAAATTAAGTTTGGAGTTCGATAGTAGATAAATTAGGATTCAAATTAAGTAATTTATTCCATAAATATTTTTCCAAATCATTTTAAGAGTTTATTTGGAAAATCTTTAGTTTAGATATTTTCTCATTTTTTGCTATCTCATGGATTTTTGTTGGAAAAAGAGAAATGTTAGAAATTAAACCCAAAGATATTTCTTTAAAGAAAAAGAAAAACAGGGCATTTCGTGGAAAAAGAAAAGAGAAAAAAATAAAAATAAAAAGAAGGAAAAGAAAACCCTAGCCTCGATCTTCTTCTTCTCCCCCTCCTTTTGTTCGTGGTTCAAGCCGTCCCCCTCAGCCACTCCCTCCGGCAGCCGGCGCTCCTCCAGTAGCACACGAACGGTGGCGCGACCCGCGTCGGCGTTCCTTGTTCAGCAGCGAGCGACCCCTTTTACTTGAGGTAATCCGAGAGGACTTTCAGAAGATTACAAATGAGATAAATATTACACATTTCACCCTTTCATGGAATCGGAAAAGCTCGTAATTTCACGAGGAAACCCTAGAACTTCACCATATCCATCCGACCGCGCACTCCCCACCACCAGCGGCAGGGCTATGCCCAATGAGTTGCCACAAAAGCCTCCCCCTTCAATTGCTCACCGTTTCAGAGCTCTGCTAAAGCAGCGGGATGACGAATTCAGGGTTTCTGCCCACGATGCTGCGACCCCTCCTTCAACTGAGGATATTGTGCAGTTGTACGAGCTCATGTTGTCGGAGCTCACCTTTAATTCAAAGCCCATCATCACGGATCTCACTGTTCTTGCTGACGAGCAGAGAGAACATGGGAAGGGCATTGCCGACTTAATTTGTGAGCGTATTCTCGAGGTTAGTTCTATTCGTTATGTTTTTCTCTAATTTGAGTTCAGAAGACCTTTTAGAACGTTTTAATTTCAGGTAGTCTACGCAGGAAGTATGATTCCAATATTGAAATGGACTGTTCTTGTTCATCATTTCAAACTCTCGTGCAGGTTCCGGTTGACCAAAAACTTCCTTCATTATATCTATTGGATAGTATTGTTAAGAATGTTGGGCACGAATACATTAGTTATTTCTCGTCTCGTTTACCTCAGGTATGGAAATTTTGTCTTTTGTTGTACTATTGTTTCTTATGTTTTCAGTAATCATACTGACACTATTTTAGATTTTATGAGGTTCTCATCAATTCGTTGTTCTTCTTTTTTTGGTACTAAGGTGTTTTGCGAGGCTTACAGGCAAGTTCATCCTAATCTGCACAATGCATTGCGTCACCTCTTTGGGACATGGTCAACTGTGTTTCCACCATCTATCCTTCGGAATATTGAAGCTCAATTACAACTTTCTCAGCTAACAACACAAGAGTCCTCAGGTTTGACATCCTCAAGGTCCTCTGAATCTCCTCGGCCAACTCATGGTATTCATGTTAATCCAAAATACTTGCGTCAACTGGAACACTCCGTGGTGGATAAAGTGAGCATCTATCTCTCTGTCTACTTAGAATACAGTATTTGGTTATCTTCATCTGATTTTTATTATTTTATTTTATTTATTTATTTTTTATTTTTACATTAGACTACTGAATTCAATTAACTCCAGTGAATGAAAACCTATTGACCAGAAGACACCAGATACTAAAACATCAAAAATGTATTGGTCCTATTAGTTATGAATTTTAGAAAATAAATAAATCTTTTTTCGGGAGGCCTGGAGGGTGTTAGTGGGTTGGGTTGAGTGAAAAAAAGTTATGTTAATCTCAATCTTAATGTTCAGGTTACAAATTTGTCTAATGTAGAACCTTAAGTGTTGGATTAGTCCATCCCAACCATCTAATAAGTGAAACCTATCTTAAGTTGTGCAAACAAGGAGTAAAGGATAATTAGGATTTCTCTCTTTTTCGGAGAGAACTTGAACATTTTTGCTAGCATTTGCTCAAAATAGTGGATACATGAACATTTTCCGAGTTCTCCCGTTTCTAGGAACATGAGACGATCAAGCAAGCTAGTGTCTAATCTGCTTGTTTTACCTTGCCTAACATGAGGAATTTGATGGTTCTTTCTAAACTAATAGGTTTTTAGCTTCTAAGGAACAGTTGAACAATTTCACAATGCTGGTGTGGTAACTTAGAAGATTGGGTAGAGTTACTTCCCACAACTTTTCATGAGATAGAGTCCCATACATTTCTGAAGGTTAATGTGAATTGATTGATTGTTTATCCAAAAAGATGTTGAATTGTGAATTGTCAGCTTTTATTATTTTGAGGTTTGAGAACATGTGGCATTCTTTTCAAATTTATTTAACTCTCCAGAGAAAAGGTGGATGGATGCTATTTGTGTATGTATGGTAGACTTGGTCACGTGATTTTATTAAAGCTGAAAAAGGTCAAATCTAAGATCAAGAGTTGGAATAAGAAAGTTTTTGGGTGCGTTTTAATCTAAAACAACTGTGATTTTCAATATTTTAGACTCTTCGGGGAGGTAGGTGGGTTATTAGAAGATCAAGCCCTCAGTACAAGGTCTTTTAGACTGCAGCTCCTTGACACATTGCTTTTAAATGGCTACTATGGAGGAGTAGATGCATATTAAATCCTAGCTGAAAGGGATAATAATTTGGATGTTTTTCATAGAATATATGGTTGTAACGGGAGGGAGGAAAATGTCACTAGTGAAATTATTTTCTAGAGATTATGTAAGCCTGGTCGAAATTAGCAAAATTCTTGTTGATGGGTTATGGTATTAATATTAATACCTTTTCTGTGAAGAAGTAGCTTCTGCTAGGATTTGGCATTGCAGGTTTGGTTCTTAATATCTTTCTTAATTGGGTTTATCCCTTGGTTGAATCCTAAATCATCTACCTTTGACCTATTAAGTATTATTGAAAGATTTTCAAAGCTGTTGATGAAGTGGACCTCCGACTCCTAGTTCCATGGGTGGTATGTCAACTTTGGCATAATTTTTGTTTTCAAATCTTCTTGTTATTGTGTTCTTATCTTATAAAAAAATCTTCTTGTATATGATAAATAGTTTTTAGGACACGGTCCGGAGTTATAAATGCCTCCTAATTATTACATATCATACTATGAGAATAAATAAGAAAGAGCACACCATTGAGGCTTTGAATTTAGAAATATTGAAAATTTCAAGTGCTGGCTTCTTTTTTCCTTCGAACATCCTTTTGCTTCTCTCAAACAAAAGCTTTCACTCATTAACCCAAAGTAGACTTGATTTTTAAGGCAAACACACAACCCGGACAACAACTGGGATACAATCTTGGAAACTTCTGAATCTCAAACTCAAGACAAACTGAAGAGCCGCAGAAAAGATATCTAGCAACTGACAGAAAATGGGCAAAGAGAAAAAACATGCAATCTAATTTTCACTCCAAGCTTCACAAAAGACACATACGGATGGCACAAGTGTCATTTCTGGAAGCTTTTTCTGAAGAACTTCCACTGTGTTAACCTTACCATTGAGAAGAATCAATAGTTTCTTGGTAACAAGGAGGAGAAATGGTTAGGCTTTTTTAAAGAGTTGACCGAAAACACTCCAGAAGAGTCTAAACCCACCTTCTACGGTCATCTTCTTCTTTTAAAACAATCGAACTGAGGCCGGAAAGAAGGTCCAAAAGTTCAACTATTTCTTCGTCCTTCAACAATCTTCTAGTTTACAATCTCCAAGAGGAAGTATTTTGATCCCATGCATCATAAACTGACATGGATGGAGAAGAGGATACTCTACATAAAAGAGAAAATCTGATTTTTATCAAAGAATTTCCCAACCACTTATGCTGCCAAAAGAGAATACGGCTTCCATTCCCTAATTTGAAAAAAGAGAATTTTTCCACCAAGTGCCACTCCTTGTTTATGTTGTTCCAAGGACTTAAATTAGAACCATACCTCTTTTCTAATGCATTCCAATCAAAATGATCTGTACCATAGATACCTGCCACAACCTGTCGCCATAATGCAAAAGAGGCTGAGCTAAAATGCAATTCCATTTAGCTAAAAGTGCTTGATTACCTATCCCAAAGCCTCCGTCTCGGAATAAAGAAGTGATGTTCCGTCTGACAAGATGCTTCAAGGACCCGTTTGCTACATCTGCCCATCAAAAAGTCCTTATGGATTTTTCAAGTTTCTGGCTGACTTTCACTGCAATTTTTTATTGAACGAAATGAAGATTGCGCAAACGAAAGATCTCGAAGAGGGACAATCGATCGCACTTGCCGCAGAACCACTTAACGAGAAAACATGATAGATAATATATGAATTAGAAGTTATGGAGGTGTTATTATCAAATGGAAGGTTTACTTGGACTCTGCTCAATGGAAGGGTTATTTTTTTGAACAAGAAACAACTTTTCATTGATAGATGAAAGGATACAAAGTGTTCCAGGGTACAACCTCCAAAAGGAGAAAAATAAAAATCAACTACCAACTAAACCAAAAAAGCCAGAACAATAGCTCCTAAAAGAAAAAACCAGAAACAAACCAAAAAACCAGACAGAAAACACCAAACCAACCAGAACTAAATACAACTCCAGCAACACAAAACCTAACAAAAGAACAGCAAACCAAAAACTCAAAAATAGATGAGAAATATAGCTAAGAACAACGTGTCGTCTCGGAAAAAGAAGTTAGCTCTATCTATTGGAACAAGAGTAATGCCCACTTGGTTGAAAAAATCTGACAAATCTTTGGGGACCGAACATTCATTGAATAACTCTTGCAAAGAGTCATCTTCAAACGGTAAACAAGAAGTTTCTTTATCTTCAGCCTCATTGAATAGAGGAGCAAGACCATCTTCAAAGAAAATATCAAAACCGCTAGCAATTGAGTCCTCAACAATGACTTTTCTATCACAAGAATCATAACTACTAATGCTAATAAGTGAATCTTCATCGCCATCCGAGAAATCGGCCTCCAATAGGGAACTTTGGATATTCTCTTTAGAAGAACTAAGCTTGTTTAAGGAAGGGTTATTTCAGCATAAGTTCTCCAAATAAAAAAAAATAATAATAAAACATAAAAACTCCAAACCCTAACCCTAGCCGCCGTCGCCCAGACCTAACCCTAGTTCACCGTCGCCTCAGCTCGCCAACCCTAACCCTAGCCCTTGCTGACTCTCTAATCCTAACCCTAACCCTAGTCGTCGTTCTAACCCTAACCCTAAATCTCCTTGACAGCTTCTTTTTCTTTGTTTTTGTTCGCCTTCATTGTCTTTGCCGGCAACTATTTGCCTCCGTCGATCGTCGAAATTAAGAGGGAAAAACATTAGGATAGAAGAAGAATGAAGAGTCGAAGAAAGAAGAATGAAAAGTATAAGGGTGAAAGGAAGAACTAAGAAGAAGTGTCGAAATTAGGAAGCAGTAGATTCAGATCCAAAAAGAAGAAAAATAGGAAAAGTGGGGGGGGGGGGAGTCATGTATTGAATAGACTTTTCTGGTCATTTTACAGGGTACTTCTCCCTACTCAACTGTCCAAGGAATCACATTGCTAAGTTGTCCATATTTTCAAACAACATTTTTCTTTCGAGCTGGGAGATTCAGCTTCTGTGAGGTTTGTAGGAAGATGGTTGGTATGATAATTTCATAAAAGAGTTTTCAAATGATATCTTTAATTCTTGGAGCGTTTCCCTTCGGAAACCATTGACATTAAGGGAAAGAGAAGTTGAGGAGTGGGCCCCCTCTTTAGTTTCAGCAAAACTTGGTATACCATCTTAAGATCGAAGATTGTGGAAGCTCAATAACTTGGAATTATTTTATATGAGTTCCTTATTTGGACTTTTTACAGCAGGGAAGAATATTATTTCTCAAGATTGTCACATCGTATGTAAATATGAAGTGTGAAGTTTCCAAGAAGGGTAAGATCTAATTTGGTCAGTTATTCTCCAAGGGATAAATACAAATGACGTTTTATAGAGACGACATTGAAATTGTTGTCTCATGACTCTGTTGGCTTTTTCTGGCATTTTCTGTGCCAGAAAATAGAGGAAAGTGCTTAGCATTTATTTTTGGACTGTGTTTTCTCTTGGTCTTTGACTTTCCTTGAATTGCGTTCCCGTATTTTAGTCTTTTCTCTCCTTGGCCAAATAGAACCTAGGATATTTATTGGATGCTGCCAGATTTCCCTTTAAAAAAGAAAGAGGAGGTTTCATGGCCTTGGGGTACTTTTGCTTCTGGCAAAGAAATTCCTAAAGAAGAGTTATAAGGTTCTATTTTCCTTGTGGTTTCTAATTGGGCTTTTTTTTTTTTCTGAATTATCTTGTATTTTTCCTATTTTAATTATTATAGCTAATAAGAGAGTATTTTTATAATTCCTTGGCTTATTTTCATTTGACTCTTTTTGTATATTTGTTTACCATATAGCATTTGGTTCATTCCAGAAAAAAAGGAAGGAAGATAGAACTATGTTCCTCACAATTTTTTTGGTGATTCTGTTTCTGTAGTGTCAATTATGTTTACATATTTTTTACATTAGTCTCGCTTCATTTATATGTATTTTAATGTGTATAGAATACACTAATACACGCACAACACACACATCCCCAACATGATTCCCTGAATTTAATTCAATGCAAGCAGGACTGTTTGTTTTCTGTTTTATGTTGAATATCTAGCATACATGGAAAAGAAATAACATCCAAATATGTAACTAGCTTTTAGCTCTACAGCATATTCAAGATGCAAGAGGGACTTCAGCTCTAAAAGTTCATGATAAAAAACTTGCTCCTGGATATGAAGAGTATGACTATGATGGGACTCAAGCATTTAGTTCAATCGGAAGCATGGGTCATGATTCTTTTGCTGTTGGAACGAATAAAGCAAATATGAAGCTAGAAAAATCTTCTTTGTCTTCAAGAATTGGACACAACAGGTCTCTACAATCTGTTGGTGACGAACTTGAAGCAGTTAGAGCCTCACCATCACAGAATGTCTATGATTATGAAGCTTCTAGAATGATTGATAGAAGTGAAGATACAAATAAATGGAGAAGAAAACAGTATCCTGACGATCATTTGAATGGACTTGAAAGTACTTATTCGTATAATATTAGAAATGGACATGCACTTGAGGGACCAAGAGCTTTAATTGAAGCATACGGGAGCGATAAAGGAAAAGGTTATTTAAATGACAATCCGCCACAGGTTGAACATTTTTCTATTAATGGTATAGACAACAAGGTGACTCCAGTGACTTGGCAGAACACCGAAGAAGAAGAGTTTGATTGGGAAGATATGAGCCCCACATTAGCTGACAGAGGCAGAAGTAATGATATTTTGAAACCACCTGTCCCACCTTCAAGATTTAGGCCAAGATTAGGATTTGATAAATCAAATGCTACGTCTGTAGAGCCTGGAATGAGAAGCAGTTGGTCTAGTCAGGTTCAGCTACCAACTTCTCTTGATTCCTCCATTGTTACTGAAGATGTGGTCCCATCAGCATCTGTATGATTCCTCAACTTGTTTGCTTTCTTATCTCATCATCATCATTGCCATCATTATTTTTTTGTTTATGGCATTCTTTGCTTGGAATTTATCTAGTGTTATTGTAATTTTAAAAGCATCTTTGTTCATGTTATGTTCTTTAAGTTTGTGATCAAGTGTTTTTTGTTTATTGAATTATTTGCTTGGAATTTATCTAGTGTTATTGTAATTTGTAAAAGCATCTTAATTCTTGTTATGTTTTTTTAAGTCCGTGATCAAGCTTTACATTAGTTTGAAAATTTTCTATTGTTTAATTTTGGACTATTATAGCTTTCGATCAAAGCAATTCTTATATATCATGTTTTTAATCTCTCAACATTTTCACTTGTTCTATCAAAACATTTAGGTTCTATCAAAACTTTTGAGAAGAAGGTCCATATTATATGTGTTAAGTTTTTGAGAGCATGCATTTGGTAATCTTTTTCCCAATAAATATATGTACAATTCTGTTGAGGACTATGTAGTAGGACTAGGAACCATGCATTCCAAAAGTTAATTATAATATGAGTTTCTTCTATCATCAGGATATTTGGAATATGCAGAACCCCATGAATGCTAAAGGCATAGGAACGAATTTTCAGATGCCTTTGTCTAGGAGAGGCATAGCTTCATCTGGTGAGAAAGTGTCTCCTTTTGTTGATAAACTTCCGACCAATGATGCTTTACATAGGCCCCCAACCATTGTTTCAAGATTGGGTCCTTCTGGTCCTGACTCTAGCATGGAGTCACAATCAGCTGTACAATCTATGGGCCCAAGGCATCCCGTGAACGTTCCTAACTCTTGCCCACCGTCTAGGCCTCCAATGTTTCCAGTACCGAGACACAATGCGAGTCAGTTTGATTCTTTAAGTGGTAGCAATTCTTTCATCCATCGTGCAAATAGGTCACCTTTTTTGCCTGAGCAGCAGATGAATAATTTGAGGAACAAGGAGCCAAGTCTAACAACTAAGTTGCCACAAGTTGGAAATCACCACACTGGGTGTATTCCTTTGACTAAGGGAAACCAATTGCAGGCCATCCATTTAAAACCACAATTTCTTCCATCTCAGGATATGCAGGATAATTTCAGTGCATCAGTAGTACCTCCAGCATTACCACATTTAATGGCACCATCCTTGAGTCAAGGATACAGTTCGCAGGGACATCGTCCTGCTAATAGTGAGTGTTTGTCAAGTTCTGCCCCTATTGGACAATGGAACTTACCAGTTCATAACAGTCTCAGTAATCCTTTGCATGTACTAGGGGGTACACTGCCACCTCTACCTCCCGGGCCTCATCCTACTTCTGTTCAAACGATGCCTGTCTCTCAAAATGCAGGATGCCTTATTCCTGGTCAGCAACCTGGAACTGCATTTTCTGGTCTGATAAGTTCTCTCATGGCCCAGGGTTTAATCTCTTTGAACAATCAACCTTCTGTACAGGTACAGTAATCCCCCACTTAATAGCTTTAGTTTTGGCATTTAATTGTTTACTGTTATATTTTATTTACTAAGAGAGTCGAATGCTTAGGATTCTATTGGGTTAGAGTTCAATCCAGATGTTCTCAAGGTGCGACATGAATCTGTAATAGCTGCCCTATATGGTGATCTCCCAAGACAATGCATGACCTGTGGCCTTCGATTCAAGTCCCAGGAAGAACATAGTAATCATATGGATTGGCATGTCACTAAGAATCGTATGTCAAAAAGTAGGAAGCAAAAGACTTCTTGTAAGTGGTATGTAAGTAAAAGCATGTGGTTTAGCGGTGCAGAGGCTTTAGGAAATGGGGCAGTTCCGGGATTTTTGCCTGCTGAGGTTATTGTAGAGGAAAAGGACGATGAAGAACTGGCTGTTCCTGCTGATGAGGATCAGAATGCATGTGCATTATGTGGAGAACCTTTTGATGATTTTTACAGTGATGAAACAGAGGAATGGATGTATAGGGGTGCCGTCTACATGAATGCACCTGATGGACAAACAGCCGGCATGGATAGATCTCAATTAGGGCCCATAGTGCATGCCAAATGTAGGTCTGAATCTAATGTGGTTTCCTCTGAAAAGTTTGACCAAGATGATCAAGGGGTATGTTAATTATCTTTTCTGTTTCTCTCCCCTAGACCAATACGATTATCTGCATGTCGTCTCATAGAAGAGAGAAAAATTGCGATCTTGCATTGTTATAATGTAACTATGAGATGGTTATGAAAAGATACAGAAATCTATAATGATTTTTGGTCGCATGTTTATGTACTAGGTTCTTTGTTAGCTGCAAGACTTAATGTTCTTTTTTAACACAAATTGTTAATTTTTTACTGCAGGGAGTTAGTGAAGAGGGTAATCGAAGAAAACGATTGCGGAGCTAGCCTAGATGGATTACTATACTCTCGCTGTAGCATATACAAGTTTTTTTTTTCCATGATCACTTGTTCTCACAGTAGCGTAGCTAGAATTACTCGGCTTATGCTTGAATCATTGTATATTCTAAAATGGAAATTTTCATGTGCAGTATATTGCAATCTAAAAGCAAACCCTCATCTTCTTTGTTTTGAAATTTCCTGAAAGCTTTAGAACGGAATCCTTATCTAACAAGGGTTAGTAATTGTAGGTTTGAAAGAAATGCTTTTAGAAAGAATGGATTCAAGGATCATGATCATTAACCTGTGATTGTTCATATAGATCAATAATTTGAATGGGAGTTGTAGCTTCCTATTACATCTGTATGCTGTTTGACTTGACATCTGCAGGGGGTTGAAGTTGAACGGAGCTGTAGTTGCGGCTACCAGATCTTGCTCGAAGTTTGTTGCATTCATCCGGAAGCCAGGTTTCATGGGATGGGTTGTCCTTGTTTTTGTTTTTTTAAGCTTTTTTTTCCTCCATGGAGGGTGGGGTTCAAATTGTTATGAAGTTGGGCTGAGTTTGTACTGACTGTTCATGAACCATATAATTTGTTGAACTGTTTTTCATGTTAGATTGGTTAATTAGCAATTATTTGAAGGACTTGGTTTTGATTAATGACCATGTGGATTCAGTTGTGACTTCTGTTTTGTTGTCATTGATTTTTTTTTTCTTTTTACTCTGATAAAAAATTTGGACATGAAAGGTAATCCTAATTTGGGTTTCTATCTTTATAGAATCTTGATATTAGTTCAATTGATTAGTTTGACAGTAATGTTCATTTTGGGAATATATTGGTATCGGCATTTATTCTTTCTTTGTTTTGTGCGAGTTTCACACAGCGGGATCTTCATAAATTCAACACTAGTTTTACACCATGGTACTGTGCTAATCCGTTCATATTTATTTCTGTGTTGATCACCGATAAAAAAATTTGTCGGTTCTTAAAAAAATAGCAATATTTGTCAGTTTTTAAAAAATAGCAAAAATAATATTGTTGACATCAAAGAGGTTTATTATTATTATTATTATTCTTTTTTGTAGTTGAAATTTGTAGATTTTGACAGAATTACTTAATGAATAGTTTGTACATTAATAAAACTTAATTTTGTTCAAAATTTGGTTGGTAAATTTTTTACATTATTACTTTTTTTTTTGTTTAGTATTTGAATGAGGTTAGGGTTTGAAGAAACTAGGTGAAATGAATAAGAAATGTGATTAATCCATATTTCTGCAGCTCGAGGATGATTATGGTAATAGTTGAGATTGTTCAATTTCGAAATAGTGGTCAGTATTTCCTTCCTTTCTAATGTTTAAGATTCTCTAAATAAAATAAAAAAAAAATCCAAATTTACCTTTACCTTATTCAAACACTTGTTTGTAAAAGGTTCAATTTTAGTTCCAATAGGTTTCATCCTCAGTTTCCCATTGTTGATGCTATTGAGAATTTGATGACCGGGCTAAATGACATTCTTTTTAATACAACATGTGGGAGTGAGGATTCGAACTCACACTTGGTTGGATATAGGTGTTTTAACCAGTTGATCTATACTCAAGTTGATGAACGATAAAGATTATATCTATACTCAGGTTGACGAACGATGTTGGTAATAAAATAAAATTAGGATTGTTGGAGTTGTTCAAGTCGAAGACAATCATCTTTATCTCCGTGGCCGTTGCATGCAATTGACAACCACTTCACAGTCGTGGCCTCCAACGAAGGGAATATGCCTTCTAATCCGATCACCCGTTTGTAGGCCTCAACCACCTCCACATCCCTTGCCGTCCCGTCTCCTTCAGAAAGTTCATCTCAGGCCCTACTCCTAGTCTGCACAATTTAATATAATATCAGAACAAGAATACTAATCCAATCTAATTTAAGTAGAGTGGTGAATTGAATTAATAATTACAGAACCAATGCCAATGGTGTGAGGGACTAGAATTTGGCCTTCATCATCTTACAAAGGATAGCTGAAAGATCCATGTAGACCCCAAGATGTCCTTTACACAGAGTTGCAGAGTGCTTCTTGAAATCCAAGCGAAAGCTAGCAGCCACAACTTTTTGTTCAGATTCGGTAATTTATAGATACATTTGGTCTCTCATGTGAAACATCCACCAGAAGTAAATTCTAATATAATTAATACAATAACAAAGTTAAAAAGGTAAGAGTGTACGAGGAGAATGTGTTTAATCTTTCAATTTTATCTTGAATATAATCAAATGCACGTCCACAAGAAAACAGAAGGAACGAGAAAGAGAGTGGGACAGAGTTAAAAAAGTTGCATCGATGAGTAACAGTTATAGACTTGTTATAAAATCAGTAAAACCTTTTTCGTCCCTGCTCAACCGATTTCGGTTTTGTCTCCCGCCCGAAAATCAAATCGAACCGGAAAATTTTTGCCCTAGTAAAAACGGTACCTTGGCGCCCAGCACTTGCTCGTAATACAGCTTCTTTTTAATTAAAATTTATTTCATTTTGCTTATTTTGGTGGTCTGTTGTAAAAAATTAGTTAACATATATGTCCAATACATCATCATTAATGGTGCTAATTGTGCTAATTGTGAGAGAAATGACATTTAAAATATAATCTAGGGCCCTTTTGAAAACCATTTTTGTTTTTGATTTTTGGTTTTTCTTGGTTTTTTGGTTTTCTGTTTTTAAAAAACAAAAACCATATGCGTTTGTTAACTTTTTGTTTTTGTATTTTTTTTTGTTTTTACACAGCAGAAAACCAAAACATATTTGGTAACCACTTTTAGTTTTTTGCTTTTAAAAAGTTAGAAAATTGAAAATACATATTAGAGAAAGAAAATTTTATGTAGAGTAGATATGACAATGGTGTGGGTGCGAGTGAGGATGCTCTCCCCCATTCTCGTGCTCATGAAAATTTTTAATCGCCGTCTCCACCTCGTTCTTCGGTTCGAGAAATGTTCTTGAGAAAAATTGTCAGTTTTATAATCGTTTTTAATTATTTTTATAATTTAAGTATAAAAAAAGTGTAAGAAATATATATTAATTATATAAAAAATGGAATTGGGGACGGGGATGGGGTCAGGACATGCATTTCCTATTTTTGGGACCCGACCCTGCGGAAATTTTTTCATTCCTAATGTAGAGACATGAAAATAAACTTTTGGAAGATAAATCTTAGAGAGATAAATAAAAAGATTTAGAAAAAAAATAGTGAAAGAAAAGTAAAAGGCAAAAAGAAAAAAATTTTAGAGAAAAAAAGTAAAGTCCAGAGGAAAAGATATATTAAAGAGAAAAAAAGAAATTATAAAGAAAGAGAAAAATTACAGTGGAAACAAATTTAAAGATAAAAATAAGATTCAAAATATAATTTTTAGAGCAAATAAATAAATACAAAGAGAAATAAAAGTTACAGCGTAAGAAAATAAGATATAATTTTCAGAGGAAAAAATAGATTACGAAGAGAAATAAAAGTTATAAATAACGAAATTTAGAAAAAAAAGTTAGGAAAATATTAAATTTTTAGAGAGAAAAATGAAATTAGAAAAAAAAATTAAAAATTGAAAAATGTGGAGAGAGCCCAATAATAATAAATATTCAAAATATGAAAATTTTAGAGAGAGAAAAATAAAATTTGTAGAGAGAAATTTAGAAATAAAAAAACTTTAGAATAAGAAATAAATTTTTTTAGAGATAAAAATGAGAAACAAAAAAGAAGTTAGCAAATTTTTGAAAAATAGAAACTTGATTTTGAAAAGTAATTTACATAGAATTTCAAAATGGTTTTTGAAAAACAAAATAGAGAAAATTGAATTAGTTATCAAACGACCCTGTTTTTAAAAAACTAAAAACTAAAAACAAAAAATGAAAAACGAAATGGTTATCAAACGACCCTTAGAGATTAATAGATAATAAACTAATTTTCTCAACCACTTCATCATGTATTTATTTATTATTATTATTTTTTTATTTTTAACACAAGGATTGTGTTAGTTTCATAATATTTTTAAATTAAAAAATATATATATAGTCTTTTGTCCAACAACTATGTCACACCATCATTTAATTAACGTCTTAACGATGCTATGAGAATAGAAACTGCATCAAATAAAAAGTCAATTTTTATGATTTAATTAAAAAAGAAAATTCAATTTTTATGAAAGTTTTTTAAAGTATTAATGTCTTAATGATACTATAAGAGTAGAAACTACATACATAGACCGTATTTTGTCCGAGTATTTTTTAATTTTATTTAATATTTGTTATTTGTTATCGATAAATACAAAAAAAATATAAAGATAATAAAAACTGAAAAATAATAATAAATTTGAAATTTGAAATATAAAATTAAGAATTTAGAAATGAGAATTTAGAAGAGGGAATTAATTTTTTCAAAAAGAATATCATCCTTTAATTTCTCCTCCTATTTTATCTTCCACCACTTTCTCTCACCCACTCTCCCCATTCTACATATCATTATCACTCTCTCCCAATTATCTCTCTCTCTCCCACCAAGTAACTTTCCTTTCTTTCCAAGTTACTTTTCCCCATTTTGTTCTCGTATCAAACTCTCTCACATCCTATATATTTTTTTCCTATAAGATAAAGAAAATTGATGAAAGAAAATAAAATTGATGAAAGAAAATATATAGAGGAAAAAAATGAAGGGAAAAAATGTAAAGATTGGATGCTGTCAATACGGGAATGTTGGAAACCCATGTTTTAAAATGGCATCCAAAACTCATAAGATGCCTCCCGTATGAGCATCCTAGGATACTCGAGCATTTCAAGATTCCCTGGTATCCTACATTCCCGCAAAATAAATGAGGGAATCAAGATGCTCGTCTAATAGGAATCTTGGATTCCCTAAACGACCCCCAAAAATAAACACAGGGAGTCTTAGTCTCTATAAATTTATGTGGAGTATAAAAATCTCTCTGCTCACCTTCTCTACATGAATGCCGCTCGCCTTCTCTACAAGAATGTTAATTTTTTTTACGGAGTGCATCCCCTCCAAAAATCTCTTTCTTACCTCTCACCAAAAACTCCAATTTTTTCCCTTACTTCTAGGGGTATTCATGGGTTGAGCTGGGTTGGGTCGGGTTAGGGAAATTTTTAAGAGCAACCCGAAAATTTGGGTTGACCAAAATGCATACCCGATGAAAACTTTTTTTTTCTTCTTTTGAGAACAAGGTTGGGCTGGAATTGCAGCAAAGGGCAGCGGACAACGATGAACAGTGACGGACAGTGACAAACAATAGCTAAAAACGAATGTTGAGGC